ACAACAATGGAGATGATGATGACAGCGATGCAGGGGGAGGCGGCGGTCGTGGTAGAGCGGTACGCGGTCGTGGATCTGCTGCAAGAGGTTCTGCTCCCTCTTCTCGACGAGGTAGGGGTGGAGGGCCACCACCTCCTCCTCCTCCACCTGCCCCTCCAGCCCCGAATCGGGAACTGGAAGATGATGAAATTGAGAGTGAGTTGTTTTCGACCTCTTGCTTGCTAATGCTTACTGATGGTGCATAAGGCTTTTTCAACGAAGATCGACCTGCTCCTCCACCTAGAGTCGCTGCGCGACCTCCACTTAATTCTTCAAGGTCACTACCACCTCCAGCCGTGCCTAAACCACCTTCCAGAAGCGCAGGACGTCCCCCTCCCACCACCGGCTCTGTCGAAGTTTTGTGCGATTGCCAAATACCGGCAGGGATGCGAACTGTGCAAAAGGAGACCAACAACAAAGGACGCCAATTCTACACATGCGGCAAGGATGGTTCCTGCGCATTCTTCCAGTGGGTCGACGAACCCATGGCTGGTCCACCACGGCCCATGGCGCCTCCTTCAAGATCGCGAACTCTCCCTGTTGCTTCATCCGGACCAACAAACGATGAAGAGCAGGAGAGGATGTGTCAGTGTGATCCTCCGGCTCGCGCAGCCTTCCGTGAAGTTATGAAAGAGGGAAACAACAAAGGACGTCATTTCTACGCGTGCCGTAAACCGCAGGGATCTCAGTGCGGGTTCTTTGAATGGGCAGACGAAGGACAAGGAGGTGGTATTACAGGTGGTACGACTGGTTCGCAGCAAGCTGGTAATGATCGGAACTGCTTCAAAGTGCGTGATTGTCAACTACTCTGTTGAGTTTTCTACTGCGGCTGATATCAGCTGGTATCACAGTGCGGCCAGCCAGGCCACTGGGTGAATGGTGCGTTCACTCTTGTCGGTTGACTGTCTACGATAAGCTCTTACTCAGTAAATACGTATGCAGCATGCCCTCGCGATGGGAATGGTAACTTCGCTTCCGGCGCGAATACCGGGAACAACGCTTCGGCACGGGGCGCGTGCTTCAAGTGTGGCGAAGAAGGGCACTTTAGTAACGGTATGGAACCAATTTCCATCATTTTTTTTTTCGTACCAAATGGTGACTCATCGAATTGAACTCCTCAATAGCTTGCCCAGGTCCTGGAGCCAAAAATGGAGGCGGGAAGTCTACGCTCAAACGGAAGGGTTCTACGGCTAACGTGCGAGGGGGTAGTAAGCGGGCCCGCGGACGGGGTACGACGAGAGGACGGGGAAGTAGGAAGAAGTCAAACAATTACGATAATTTTGAAGGTGACGAGATGGACTTGTTTTAGCACTGTTTGTCTTCACTCGTAGGTTTTCTGTCTCTCGATAACGTAACTAACGTTCTTCATTTCTTGTATCACGACTTACGTTGTTATATCTCTCCCTCTCAGGCTCGGTTCCTCGCTTCTCTCGTGACCTTTATGTTAATGTTTATTTGCCTATAGAGCACACATTGTATAATTTCGTCTTATTAGATAGTCTCATAGTTTATTCATATCGCCTGCTTCCAATCATAACGTCTTGGATGATCTTGAGAACGTCGCGTACTCGCCACTCGCCACCTTGTGTACAAACGAACCAAATTTAAAGACATTCAGTCAAGTCTTTGCGTCATGATCATAGTCCATTATTGTATCCACTACCACTACTTTACTACAAATGTCCGTCTGTATAGGTACTCAACCCAAGAAAAAGGTCCTACAGTCGTCACGGTCGTAAAAAGGGCTACACTACAACGTTGTCAGATGTACACACAACTTGCACATACAAACAAAGTGTCTGGAGGGAAAGGGAGAGAGGATATAAGCACCGTACTGTCCATCGTAGAATTCGTAAAATCGCACGCGCGCAAGGAGTCCAAGTCCGTTTGGAACACGAGCAGGAGAGCCGTGAGTGGGCATACCAACACCCTCGTCTAGATGACAGACGTGAACACAACCATCACACCGGACACCACCATCGTCATTAGCACATCCACGAGTCCGTTTCTCGCAAAGTTCATCACAACAGACCCAGCCGAGCTCTTTGACTGGGATGTTTCCGAACCATTGCCGTTACTAGCTTGGTTGGCACTCGGGGGTGGGGTTTGGAGGATCGTCGACTGGGGTAAAGGGCTTACCGCCGTCGTTTGCTGTTTCTCAATCTTCCCGGAGCCGATCATCACTTGCGTGGCGATGGAGGGTACGCCGTTGACCACTACGAAGAATAGTGCAGGTCCGGGTACGAGGATGGCTGGGTTAGGCGGGACCTGGCTCACGTGCAACACTCCGGAACCGTCGGTGTTTCCGGTATAGGAAGACTCGAGGACGAGCATACGTTGGCCCATGTTCATTGTATGCGTCGAGAACCCCGTCCTAATGATGACCACGCTCGTGTTCTTGAGATTATTGACATCTCCGAACAAGTCGTCGGAGGAAAGCGTGATGTTGAAGTAGGATCCTCCATATGACAAGGAAGTAGGGGCACCGGATGGTGCGGGACGACGCGAGTTGTAGTAGGATGGGTAGAGGCGCTCAACACGGTACTCGGTAGGGTATTGCACTTTAGGTGTATAGTCCGCATTGGGATTTGAGCCTAAAACGATTACGGAACCTAGTACAAGGCGATAATGTTAGACGCGAAATTGAGACTTGAACAGAGCAACAGAGTGTGTACTTACCATCAGGAGCCAACGTTGCTGCACTATGATACATTCTGGCAACTGTACTTTGTCCAAACCCACCTGTAGACCACCTCTGTCCCTTCTGCGCATTAGGATCGTAAAGCATAGGCTGCAATATCGGCTGGTCGGCATAACTCTGACCAATCGCCCAGGAATCGTTCCCATACCCAGCCACACCAAGTGCAGCTCCGTTCAAATACACAATCTGGCTCGTCGGAAGGAGAATCATGTTCCCCATGCTGCGACCTTGGCTGAGAGAGTCGTCTTCTTCGTAGTTGGAAGAAACGTCGGGCGAGATACGGACACAGGAAGTGGATGCGGGGTGCGCGGCAATGTCCCAATTCGTAACCCATTTGTCTGTAGCGATGTTGGATCCACCGCAGAATAGGATGGTAGCAGTCCAATTATTCTGGGGCGTCAAAGGAAGCATAGCTGTCCCTGCGCTGGCGGGATAGGTCCGTACGGCGTGTGGCATTGCCGCCAACTTGTATTCTGTGTTGGTTTTGTAATCAAGAAGGATAGTAGCAAAGTTGGCTTGCATGAGTAGTTTTCCGGAAGGTAAGAGGAAGGTGATGGCGAAGAGATTGACGGGCAGTGTGCTATGGAGAAATGGAGAGGTGATGGGTGTTGGGTCATCAAGAGGGGGGAAGAATTCGTAGGTAGGGTTATCCTGGTTTGGGTCATTGACAAAGCCGCCGAACCCACATCCACCGATCTATGTTTGTAAATTCAGTGAACAGCAGAGGACAAATGATTAGGTGCGTACGATAATAGCACTACCATCCTCTAGAGTTTCACTAGTATCGGCATGCTTAGTATTGGGTCATCGGAACGAGGGTGTCATGGTACTCACACAGTTGGATACCACCGACGTGTACTCATCGCAGTAGTGAGCTTCCAATTGCAGCTCCCGTCATCGCATGGATCGAGCAAGCTGTGTTCATGTTATCAGCTCGCGTCAATGACCAAACCCTAACATAGGTTGACAAACCGAAGACTACGGAGCGATATTAGCATGCCATGATAGATGAATATGTGGAATATGCAAAGCATGCCTTTTGCCGCCGTCTGGATCGTCGTAGGGCGCCCCGCCGGTTTGCGAATTAGCAGTCAGACCACCGTACGTGACGGCCTGGTTACCCCCGACATTCAGCCACGTTCCATTACCGAGTACGTTCCCGCCCTAGTCATACCCATCCATCAGAATCGCGTTCGCGGTGGGAGATAAAAAAACATACGGCACAGAACGTGTTTGTGACAATATCCATTGGGCGCCCCGAGCTAGCGTTCACAGACCATTCCGCCGCCCAGGCTGGATGCCCATTGATATTGGCAGGATTATTTTCTGTTTTGTCTACGACGTAAATCTTGTCCAAAGTCCCGAGGAACACCTGCAAGCGTGATGCATGTTACGGCGACAGCCCCAATCACAAACCATGGATGCTCACCTGTTGACCGCTGACCAGGCTGTCACCGACGATCTCGAACTGACCGATGGGGGCATTGGGTCGAAGTTGTTGGCTGTATGTTTCTTGCGCACACGCGAAAAAAGCGAGAAAAATGGGCCAGAGACTCTGCATGTCGCTGTATGTTTGGTTAGGAAGTATAGCTGCAAAAGAACGTGGTGGCCAGGAGGCTGTGGGGTATAGAGCGGAACGAAACCTGTGTGGCTCGAGGCCGAATGAGCAATGTGTTGGGCTGCACCAGAGCACAACGGGGGTAGGAGGGAGGTCGTGCTTTTAAGGGACGGAGGATGGTTCGAGGGCGGCTAGCGGCGGGCGGCATGCCAAAGTGTGATTCGGTGAAGAGACTGCCAGCTCGAGTCGCCTGCCCGGCCTTGACATCCCGCTGAGTCTTGACGGCGTACGTAGCCTAGCGCAGCGAGCAACGACGGCGTTCAGAGTCTCAAGTAATATTTGACTCGGTTGGTTACCACTAAATGAGGAACTGTAAAAGCAGCACTTCATCGACAATCAGCTAACCTAGAATCTAGTGGCGGCGGTCAAGGTCTACTTTGATTAGACCGGTCTAATCAGTAAACCTCGAAGCACAGCCGTAGCACCGATTCACTGTCACTTGTTCGCTTGGGTATATGGAATTTCTTGGAGGAAGAGGCTTTCCATATTAGCAGTAGCTCTTGTACGAACTCGTTGCCAAAGGAGGAAGTTGGAACAAAGGCAATCTAGATGTTAGAAACTGTTCTCAACAGTTTGTCCTGATACTTCCGAACCTTTGTGCTTAATCGATATATATTATAACCAAATTCTATCATTTGCATGGCCGGGATAGCTCAGCTGGGAGAGCAGTAGACTGAAGCTATTGACAAAGCATATTTCTAACGGTCGCGTGTTCAATTCACGCTCCTGGCATTTTTTGAACCGGATTGTATTGAAACGCTGCACGCTCAGTTCAATGTTATAAGAAGGATAAGCATTGAAAACATTTGTGACCCTCGGTAGGAGACCATCAATTATTTATACGTTCACTTGTCTAGGCGGTCGAAGTAGTACACAATCGCGTGGATGCTGAGACGTGCTACATGGGGAACCACATTGCAATGGGTAGAAACTCGTCAAGCGACCGATTAACACTGTTCGAGACACTGCTTGCATCGTCACTCTCGTCGCGTCCATCTTCCTCAATGAGCTCCTCCATGTCGACGTCCGAATCCTCGACTTCATTCGTTGTATGCTTGTTTTGTAGATTTTGCACGGTTTCATATTCTTCGCCGAGCACTGCGCAAAGCTGAGAATCACCGAGCGATTCTCCACGGTGATTATTTTTGATGTGACGTTTCAATTTGGCTCTACCGACATGCATCCTCTCGCGCACCTCCTTGGGGAGTGTGGGGTCATTCTGACAGAAGGGACACGGCTGGGGTCCCTTGAATGGGTGCTTGAAAGTGCTCAAGACTCTACCGGGTTCAAGTTGGGTATCAAACAAAGAGAACACTAAGTCTAAATGACGTACCTGATAAATTCTTCTCGCGCAGCTGCGAAAGACTCCTGTGGTTCCACTCTTTCACCCAAGCCGTCACAGATGGTACTGTCCAGCTGGTCTTCGAGTCCGGCGATGTCCAAGGAGTTTCGGTCGACAGAGTCCAGTTCGGTCAACGGATCCTCCGAAAGCTCTCTGAGCTTATCTAAGATCTGGGAAGTGGTCCGGAATTCTTGTTTGCGTTCTTTGATTGTCTCGATATTGAGAGGTTGTTTTGACTGGGCAACACGAGCATCCTGGTCGACAGTGTCGCGTACAGTGGCGATGCTAGCACGATATCTTCTGGTGACCAGCTGCGCATAGCGCTCCACAACGGCTTCGCAGTCATCTGGGTTCTCAGTGACAGTCATGATATACTCCAAGTCGTCAGGAGGTATGGAGTACTGGGTAGAGTTAGGAAAGGAATCAAAGGATAAATTTGAACAACAAACACTCACTCGTAGTTGTATGCATGCTTCTGGGTCTTCACTATCAAGAGCGGCGCTGATATGTTTTCGAAGGGTGTCGAGATGGCGAAGGGTAGCTGAAAGCTCTTTGGCGCGTGCAACGGTAACACGGCTATGAGAAGCTGGTACTTGAACTCTGGTACAAGTCAAGTGTGTGAGTTCCCAATACATTGCCGGAACAATAAGGACAATACCTGAAAAGTGCTGGAGCGTCGTCTTCGTCTAGATCTCGGACACTCTCATGTCTCCCCTCAAACTGCATGGCAGTCATGTTCAGTCGTCGTGCATTCTGATCGTATGATAGGTGGAGGGTATCAGTATTGGCATGGTGGTTCAAGAGGACTCGAGTGATGTCAGGACCGACAACTTCCATTGCAGCTGTTGCATTTCCACGGCGAAAACAATATGGCGTATTGTTCTTTTCGGCCCCTGCATAGATTGAGCTTTAGGCAAACCAAGTCGGTATCAAGTAGAAGAGAAAAAAAAGCTCACCGCCTAGGCCTACTTTGATACACAACTTGCGGAGTACGTCACGAAACCCTGTTGCATTGAAAGCATTGTCTGGATTTACGTTCCAGCCACCAGGTGTACTAGCCTGCATGAAAGGTTTCTTTCGGCGATCTGCTTTAAAGAGTACGTGATGCTCTGTGCCGTCGAGAAGGGTCCGCCAGGACTGATGATGGGCAAAGTCACCACGCTGAAGAGCAAGTGCGACGATGATGTTGCCTGGGTCTAGCAAGAGATCATTGCCGTTTGAGACAGGCATCAGGGTAAAGTCTTGTCTAAAAGTGGGAGATGTTAGGCTCTGGTTCACGTGGGTAAGATCTCAATTGTAGTACGTACTTGTGCGCATACATTGGATCATGTGCTCCCTTCCAGTTTTTTATCTGGAGACGTATGGCAAAGCAGCCACGCTTGGGAAGACGAATCACGGTTACATCCTGTGACACATGCTCAGCATATAATGGATAACATGGCAACTCGTTGGCACATTGTGATTAAAGAAACTTGCCTCAAAAGTCAGATAGCAGTCAGGATAAGGTGGTGTGGCGAGGATTGATCCCGGTCGCAAACTCGTAAGGATGAAAATAAGAAAGCATGCAACACACTGTAAACCCTGTAATGCGGATGATAGCGAAGAATTATGTTAGAATATATTGGCGGCTAGAGAGTCCGTATATAAGGCGACGTACGAATGCGAAATTTTTGTTCTCGACAAGAGCACATTCAGAGAGTATACGTGTCTCTTGTGCGTGGAAGGTGCGCTTAGTCTTACCCTCGCCTGATAGACCGTAAGCCTGGGCTAAAAAGCGAGCGTGCTAGCAAAAAGGTTTAATTCTTGATATATAATGATAAAATTGAGAGAAGACAACTCACTAGAGTGACGTCTCTTGCCAACGTGTTGCGCTCCTTTAGATTGTCTCTGAGTTCCTCTGAATTGTCGAAGATCTACAAGTAGTAGTGTGAGTCTTGGCAAGTGACTGTTCAGAGGACTAGAGTACGTACACTGCTAAACAGATCTGTTGTCAGGGTTCGCAATGATGTTGCGGACATTCGTGTTGCTTCAGTCTCATTTATGTTGGATTGGGATTGCTGGACGACAAGCGATAAATAACCATTAATGCGTTCTGAGATGTATGAATAGTCGTAAGAGGTATATGTGTACTGTCATGAGTCACGACATACCTGCAAGTCTATCGAGGACAAGTTCTCTGTCCTTGTATGCGGCCCACTTGCTGGTCTGGGCGATGTATTCTGCAAAGCGGGCCATGACATAAGCATGGCGACGTTTCGTAGCTGGTGCTTTGGTTGAATGGTCGCGGTGAAGATCGTTCAGAATGGATTGGAGCTCCTCATTCGCAGTATCTTGTGCTGCCTCGCGAAAAAGCTGTGCTCTCTGTGTCTGTCCAAGAATTCTTCGACTAAGAATATCCTCTTCGTTGGTTTCAGGAAGGGTCGGAAGAGCCCAATTCTGAAGTGGATTGGCATTGGTGGCAGGCTGGTCAGCTGCGACCGTCGACTTTTTCTTTCTGGGCATGGTGGTCACCGTCGAATGCAAAGCCGTAAGAGAGGGAAAGTACCACATGCACGGTCCTGCTGAGGCGATTCTGATTGGATCCCTATCAACAACTGTTTTCGGACATTGGTTTGCGAATAATGGATGATCGCTTAAAATGTTGTATTAATTGTACATGGCAAGTGTCCACAGGCGTTGCAAAAGTCTAGGGGAAAACAGTATAAAACCATTGCGAATTCGTACTTTGAAAACAAGTCAGGCCGGGAGCTAGTCTACAGAGACAAAAGACAAAAAGCTATCAAAGGAAGAGATCGGTCGGTGAGTTCGTGGAGTCAGATTCGGAGAGCGACAAGTCCGGGAGTCCAGAGGCACGGCTGATAATCTGCCGCGCAGTGGTAAAATCGAACTGCATGACACGCAAGGGATCTGGAACATGGATACTATGTGTAGCCATGTTTTCTGTAAGCCAGGGGTTGAGAGTTTGATCAGCATCAGGATGGGTTTCGATCCAGTTGAGCCGACGATCTAATATGTCAGCCGCCAAACGGTAGTTACGCTCCCAGTTTGCACTGGCAAGGTTGGCGAGTTGAATGGCAATGACGGCGGAAGAGCTATCCAGAGGAGTATTTGTGGCAGCGGCGGGTGCCACAGGCTTCTTCTTGGGTCTTCCTACAGGCTTTTTGGGAGCGGCAGGTTTCTTGCCCTTGCCCTTGCCCTTGCTGGTGCTTGCACTTTCGGGTTCTCCGGTATCGGAGTCGATAAGATCGATGACTAGAGGGACGTTGGGCTCTGAGGAGCTGGAAGGGTTGGCGGTAGATGCAGTAGCAGAGGCGATAGCAGAAGTAGCAGAGGCGGTAACAGAAGTAGCAGGTGCAGTAGGTGCAGCGGCAGGAATGGGGGCAGCGGGGGTGGGGGCAGCAGGAGCGGGAGCGGGAGCAGCAAGAACAGAGGCAGCAGGAACGGAAGCAGCAGAAGCAGAAGATGGACGAGGCGAAGTTGCTGGAGGCGAATGCGAAGGAGGAGGAGAGCGCACAACAGTCGAGTTAGAAATAAGACGGCGACGGCGAGAGACCACGTTCTCGTCCTCGTCCTCATCATTGCCGTTATTGTTGGCTGCGCGTTTGAGTTGGTTATTGTTCTTGTTGGTGGGAGCATCAAGCAGACCACGCTCATTGAGTCTAAATGAAGAACTAGAAGTGAGATTATGACAGAGATCATAAGAAAAACGTACACTGTACGAGCAGCTACGACTGCACCGTTGGTGGAGGATCTAAGGACATTTCGGATTGAGCCTGCTGGAGCAGGACCGGCGTCCCAAGCTGCTTTGGCAGCTTTCGTACCAGAGAGAACGACAGGTTTGGGAGCAGAGTAGGGCATGACGGCAGTTGAGACGGCGGCTGAGAGATGGTGGTCGAGAGATGAAAAATGGTGGGGGTTGTTGTGTCATAGTATCGAGTCGGTACTGTACAGTACATGGCTGTCGGAGATTCAATGTGGGTGAGCGAGCGAGAGCAGACCGTCGTCTCAAGTGATATCATGCAAGGGCGGGATCGTGGCGCTTGTTCACATTTGGAGCACTTTGCATCGTCACTGCCACTACCCCAACGGACGTTGCCATTTGGGCAGTTGTGGTTGACAACCTGCACCGGCTTCGCCACAGGAAGGGAAAATGGTGGTTTCACACGCAGCGGCGTGAAATGAGCAACTAATAAGACGCGACGACGCGTATGCTCAGCCGTGCAACGATGGAGCATGAATGACTTTACAATACCTAATAAGATGCAACGACACGTATGCTAATGTACATGAGTATTGAATATATAAAGAGAGAGAAAAGGGAAGAACGCACCTCAGCCGTGCAGCGATGGAGTGTGAACGACTGAGGAAAAGAAAGAAGAGAAAGGTCGCT